AAAAAACTTAAAAATATTTGAAATTGAATTTTACTTTTTAAATTCAATAAATGCACAGCCAACTGGGTCGCCACAGGATCTTAATCAGAGAGCTCCTCTGAAATTCTCTTAAAAAGGGATAGTTAAAATAGTTTTATATCTTTCGAGGCAATCACGGCTACAAAATGAGTTAACAATAGACTAAGGGCCAGAGTGTCTCGGGCACGGCATGAGTACAATTGTTGTTGTTTTCAAATCAAATTTTAAATTTGAGAATGAGAGAAAAAACAATATGGCCGTTCAAACTCCGGCATAAGAGCCGGCGTATTTGTGCCCCGGCACTAAGGCAAAACAGTGTTGTTTAGTAATAAATTTCAAAATTTGCGCCTTTTAGGAGCAAACTACTACAATTCTAGTACGTTTTGGAGAAAAAATGGCAGTAAGCAACACAGCATTTTTTTTATAAATCGCTAATAATATAATTATTACACTTTCTGATTTTAAAGAAACGCGTAAGTACTGTTAACAATTATTATAAGTTAATATAATAATAAATTAACATTATTACAGCCTCTATGAGTTTTTTTTATGCGAGTTATTTTTGGTGGTAAATTGAAAGTGAGCATATCTAAATTTCCTTTAAAATTTAGGCACAACCAAGAAGTAGTAAAAATACAAAATTGGCAATACTGATGTGACACTCTGCATAACATGCATTTTCGGCATAGCCCGAAAGAGCGTAATTTGCCGTGCCCGAGACACTCTGCATAACATGGCCCTTAGAAGATAGTAAAATAATAAACTTGATCTTAGTGTCGTTACGTTATATGTCAATGGAAAATAGTTCAAAAAAATTATTTAAAAATTAATTTTACTATATATTTTATTAAATTAAATTATTAAAATAAAAATTTTCAAAATTCCAAATTTGCAAAATTAATATTTCGCCTTTTTTTTCATTTCAATTCGGTAATAAAATGGCAGCCACAAATTGGAATAAATCTAAAATCGTTTGCATTACTGAAGAAAGCTCACCGGCCATTGAAAGTTAGTAGAAATTAATATACTTTTGTTTCAACCTGTATAATATTCTTCTATAAACCAATCAGATAGCTTCAGTACAGGTACAGATCTTTATGTTGTAAAACTTCAAAACATGCGTACCATAATCGAGGTGCGTCGTTTTATGTACAGCAAATTACTTCCAAATGGTATGTGCTACATCATTTATTTTAGATTTTATAGTGATTCTCCTTGTCTATATTATTCAGGTACTATCCTACCACTTGACTTTTCAACCAACAATACACATTTCATTGATGATTATATCAACTATTGTAAGACGTTAGTAGAACCTACACGTAGTGTCTTCCCAACTACAGCACCAAACATAATTATACCAAGAACCAACTTTATTAATGTAGAAGAAAAGAGAAATCAAACAACATCTATGGCAAATATGTCGAAAGTGAATGCTCAAACGCAGGTAATTAAGTCAATCTATTATAATGTTCTTTTACTGGTCTCTGGAACACAAAATATTTTCTTTCTAGACAATATGTACACGTAGCATAAGTACTTCAACTGATCCTGAGAAAAAAGTCAGATTTGTTTTCCCCAGAAAAAAAACTCGGAATTGCTGTTCCTCAGACAACGACCTTTTTAAAAGACCAAGGAAGATGTTAATCTTTAGATCAGCAACTAATTTGAAAATTGGAAATAAAAACTGTAAAGGAAATGCTTGTAATGAATCTGAGAGCTGAATTAGTTCATTAAGTTGTCAATATGTGAACCTTTTGAAAAACAAAAAGAGATGCAAAATATTCATAATAATAAAGAGGTAGCATTTAATATATCCACCTTTTTTTATAACAACTGTGTGTAGTAGCTTTCAAAAATTCTTTCTTAAGTAACCCGCATATTAGAGGTACTATTAAATTGGTAAGAATCTAATGCTCATAACAATTATTTTTCTAATTTTAATTTAGTTTTATCTAACAACTAAAACTATATTGCTCTATATAGTTCATTCCAATAAAGATGTTTTTTTCAAAGTGTTATTCAAAAGTTTATAGATATTGAACACTGCGTGAAAACTGCATTATTTATACTTGATCTGGAATATAAGGCGGATGATCTTCAGATGTGTATTAATATCATTTGCTTATTTATAGAGCAGTAGGAGTCAATAGGTGGGAAGAAAACATTCCCCCACCTAGGACGAAAATATTTACTTATTAAGAAGTAAGTTTATATATGATAAAAAAATTGTACTATAATCTGTGTTACAAGATTGATACTCAGTAAGGCGTATTTAAGAACTGCTATGCAGTGAGGCTGCAAGAGCAACGTCTAGTTTCTTAAAAAGTAGTAATCTGAACCGCTATTTAAAATTTTAACATTGCTGATTTGGAGGTAGCCCATCTTTATATATCCAGGTCTATTTTCAGAAACCAGGTTACGAAAATCTTAGTTTCAAAACCAACAAGCGCGGTTGATAAAGGAGATTATTTTTTGAAGTTCAATGTTTGTGATATATGTCTGGCTCCTTGTTTCGTCAACTTCAATAGTGGAAGGTTTTGCTAGGCCTGGGTATTTGCAAAGAAAACGTTTAATTGTTTATTTTTCCTTTGCTTCCCGACAGCTTCGGCATTTGTGGTTAAAAGGAAACTCAGGTTTTCGGTTTAATTGTTTATTTTTCCTTTATTTATCGGTAGCTTCTGTATTCGTGGTTCAGAGCGAAATCCATTTCTTCGGTTTAATGGTTTATTTTTCCTTTATTTTCCGACAGTTTCTGCATTTCTAGTTTAGAGGAAAACCCACATTTTTGGTTTAATTGTTTATTTTTTATTATTTTCCGGCAGCTTCTGCATTTCTGGTTAAAAAGGATATCCAAATTTTCGGTATAGTTGTTCACTTTTACTTTGAAAAATTAATCTCAAAAACACTTTAAGCCTAAAGTGTGATTAAGAAACAGTCCCCGACTAACTTATTCAATATAATTGGTCTACAGTGGGAGTCATCAATTACTGTAGCCAACACCTATAGGTAATCTTGTGTCTACACTGGCTACACTTTCGCAAGATTTTGACATACATTCTTATATCTTTTCTAACATATGCAAATTCGTGGTAGCACCTTAAGTTCGAAAATAATGCGTATTTGTTTTCGAACATAAAAATCTTGCCAAGTTCTAACCAGTGTATGTGTCGAGTTGATTGTGCGTTGTTTGAGTTAATCCTCAATATTTTGAGGACTCTAATATTGTATGACATTTAATACACTTTGATTCAACTAAACTTCATTAGTAACTTCTTCTTTCGCATAAGCTACAATATAAGTGAATGCAGAAAAGAACACTTACTTGTGTTTTCTGGAAACGCAATCCATATTCCATCTGGAAAAAACCCATTATTTCGAATAAAAAATTTAATTTGTTTACGGGTTTGACACTCTACTTAAATATCTATTCATTCATTCATTGACTGTTATTACTTATCATTCAAAAACTGAATTATTTTTTATATTGAAACGAATTTTGTTTATTTTTATTTATAATGAATTTTACAAAACAACAGCTGATGACGATAAACAAATGATAAACAATAAACATTTTTTGGGGGTATTTTATATGCCGGACGCATTCGTTCAAATTGCAAATAAAAATTTCTGACTGGAATTCGATTAAATTTTAAATTTCTTTTAAATTATGAAAATTATTTAAAAAAAGAAAACAAACATAATATATTACAAAACCGTAAACAATTTAGTGTGTAATGCGAATTTGCGTAACTTTTGACCATGATCCGAATAAACCCGTTCCACGAAATCTTCATGAACGACTGAATGCCCTCTGCACAATGAGTCCACAACAAAGTCTGATGACTAGTGAATTGTGATATCAATTGTTTCGACCAAAATCTTTTAAGGTAAATTAAAATGTTTATTATTTTTTATTTTACTAATTCGGTGAAAGCGACCTTTAATTAAAGAAGTCGTTTTATATACCATACGTTTAAAGAATGCACTTAGATACTTATAAACATTAATTTGAAGTTTTTTCTTTAGGCACACATTTTTGTTTATTCGACATAGCTATAGATTAGGTGGACCCAATTATTTAACAAAAAAAAAAACATGAAAAGAAACCCATTTTATGCTGTTCAAGTTAAGATTCATTTAACTTGCTTAAGAAGATTCGATTACATCGTTTCACGAAGATTATATCACGGAATTAGCTCCTTTATCTTGAATGATTTAATATACTTTGTTCTTGGCATCTATTTTCTGGCCTTTAAATTCATCTAGTATCCATAGCTTGTTGATATAAGCCTTTGATTTCAAATACCCCAGAGGAAAAAGTCTGTGTCAAGTTAAGCGAACACGTTGTCCATTCAGAAGGACTATTCCATGATATCCAGTGACCAGAAAACAAAAGTTTGAAACTGAAATTGGCATCGATATGGATTGATAACCTAATACCGACAATATTAGAATATAGTCTATACACTACAAATGTTTGTTGACTATTAATTATTAATTGTTTAACTTGATTTGTTAAAATTCTATGAATAAATGTTCACACCTATAAACTAATGGATTAGTTTTTCAACTATGAAAGGTGTTTTGTAAGTCTACTAACTATTTTTGCCCATTAAATTCGTCATGGAATTATATTCAAGCGAACCTCTTTATTCTTGATAACTAATTCTGATATAAGATATTTGCAGCAATGGACCGACTTGGGTTAGATGTTTCAAGATTTGAAAGATTTTATAGCTGCTTGATTATTCGAATATTCAATAATTTTAACATTTATTACTTTTTTCGATTATACCATAGATTAATACATACTTTCATTCGACAAAAAGTAGGAAATTTTCTCAAGGGAACTGCTAAGATCTATTCAAGCCCATTGATGCCAGTAGCAGTACCTTACTTACGAAGTAGTAAACAGAGAGGTCAACAAACAAATTAAAGAACAATTTCATGTGATTCGCAATATTTGAGCGAGGGTTTTCGAATTAAGGCAGCTAAACAAATTTAAAATAGATACACCCAATAGTGTAAGAAACCTTCTATATATAACCTACTATTCTATATATACAAAATACAGTTTGGAAAGATAATAACTTCAAAAATTTTTAAACATAGGTAGAATGATATAAAAGAATCCATAACCCATGCGATTTCATATAAAATGAATAGAATGTAAGAAGGTCTCCTTTTTAGGGAGCTATCTATGAGACGTCTCTAGTCTCTAGAAATTAGAAATTAATCTAGAAATTAATGTAATTAACAAATCAACAAAAAAAGGTCTAATTAGCGTAATCGAAACGATGGAAATTAAAATTGAGCATAACTAGTGCGGTGTTGCTATCTAGTATTAATATTTTTGGGAGATAGATGTACATATATATTTTTCAAAAATATGTCAACGTTTGGTCAAAATAGAATTGCTTAGTAGTATATTGCAGAATTTGCGCCTATTAAGAGTAAATATGTACCTATATCTTTGTGTGAATATGTAAACGTATTAACACAAAAAAGTATCAAAACAGTAGAAAAGCTATATAATTCACAATTTTGATATGATTTTCTGTATAACAGGCCTTTTGGTCATGACCAAAAAGGGAGTAAGATTGCCGCGACCACTCGTTACATGACTGTCTATATATCATAGCCCCTAAAACATATTATTTAAAATTTCAATAATTTCACTAATACAAAAGAAATAAAAACTTAGTTACCTATGATTTTTTTATTAAAAAGAAATTTTTTTTAAAAAAATTTGAGAAATAGTTAAGTAAATTCAACAAGAATTGATTGTAAAAAATTTCAGTATTAAATTTGATTTGGTTTTTGTGGGGCTAAAAATTAATCTCAATGTCTATTTTAAGTGATTCCGTCAAAGTGAGAGCTTTGGAATATGTAAAGATGACCAAAATTTTTCCTAAATGTGGTTTTCTTGAAACTGTTAAGAACTCAAGCGAAGTGAGTACAAGTAAAATTTCTGGGCAATATATATATATATAGATATATATATATAGATTCCAAATTTCAGATATATTAGAATTAGATTATTATATCTAGACATGACAAATTAGTAAAGATATACTTTTTATATTTAAATAAAAATTAAATATATAAAATTCACTACATTTTTTTAGCTTTGTGATGAGTTTCGTAAATTATTGGACTCAAGCTTATCCTTTGAAGAATACATATCACTTCTGGCTACTTCCGCAATCATTTATGTTTTAGCCGAAACGAAAACACTGCGGGATATTTTAAAAACAGGACTTCTGGAAGAAATCATTAGTCGTATACAACTTAAGCATGCGGGTCCCGTAAGTAGTTCTCGTCTGATTTTTTATAATTATGCGAATTTTAATTTTCAAAACATGTCTCCTATTACAGACACAGGCTATGTGCCAAGAAATTTTTAGAGCACTTCAATATCAATCTTTGGATGCATACCCAAATATCATTACTTTTGCCTTAGCTCTTCCATTGGAATATCCTACATCTGTAGCCATACATTTATGTTTGGCTTCGGCTTGCCTATATAAATGTATTAATTTCTCAAATTATAAATGGAAGGCAAAATTTATAAATGTATGAAATTTGTATTTAAAAAAAATTTGCTTGATATAAGATTCTTCGATTTTTTTCTTTGACAGTTCCACAGTCTAATTAAATATATGGATCTTGTGGATGATGATATTTTTCTTGGTGGAGATAAATCTGTATACTTTTGTTATTTCCTGAAAGCAATGTCTGCTTTGTTACTTATCATACTATTTAACGGGGATCACCAGGAATTGATTTTGATGGGCTATTCACCTTACATTACATACAACGTCCAGGATCTTAGAAAACTCATTCTTTGGTTTTTGAGGTTACTTGTAAAAATGTCAAGTTTAAATACGGAAAATCATTATGCTTCGGCCTGCCATTATCAGGTATATGTATACATTTTATTATAATATTATATATAATGTATATAAATTATAATTTTTTTTTTCAAGTTGACAGCAATTATGAACTCATCAATCCTTGAACGCATACAATTTGTCGAATATGAAATGTGCAAGGAATCAAACGCCTAGGCATAAAATTTATTACTTTGAAACCACATATATATCGTAAAAATTAAGAAGGCTTATCGGTGTAATTATTGTAGATTTGTATAAATTCTTCTGAAAACATATATACAATAAAACCGCATTGTACCACTGTAAACTGTATATATACTTAAATAGTTTGCATACATTTACTCTCATATTTTTTAGCAACCTAGTTATAGATTTAAGTTTCCGGGTACTATCAAAATCTTTATGGGTCGATACTAAAGGTGTAAGGTAATCTAAACAACTCTTTTGGGTTAACAATACAGAGACCCACGAAACGAATGCAATGGTTGGTATATTAAAATCTGATAAATAGTCTAGAAAAAAAATATCCCTCTCTGCATGACAAATCCTGTGTAGATGTAGTATGTGTACTGACAATTCTAGTATTGTATTTTTTCCATGTTATTAATCATAGATACTGTGAACT